TGTAAATGGAAGATTATAAGAGAGGGTTTCGCGTGCCAGCAAAAGTTACTGGCGTGCCATGTTTGGCACGCGTGCCAGGGGTTGCCCACCCCTGTTATAGATGAAACATTGAGGCTTCAGAGAGGTTCTGGAACTTAACTGAGGATGACTGATGGCCTGGGGATTTGAAACCGAGTGTCCTGGCTCCACAGTCTTTAACGACACAGTATTGTTTCCTCAAGTGAAATGGAAGGCTACAGCCTGCCTCTTCATGCAACCATCGTCATGTCCCCAAATGTCATCTGGATTAAACGTTTCAGAATTTCTTAATTTCTCTTCTTATTTCATGATTTTCAGGCTCTATGAGCCACCCTCCCCTGGGGGAGGCTTGAGTTTATCATGTGTTCATAGAAGGTGGACCTATGAACACAGCGTCTCAGTCCATATCCTCATTTGAACAATGTGCTTCTAGTGATGTGGATTAACTATACTTAGGAAAACACCTTATTGAATTTGCTTATGTACCAGGCCCTATGCCAAGTGCTTTCAGGAAGAACCACAAGTGGGAAATATTTTTGTATCCCTTTTGTATTTGAGTAATCTGAGGCTTAGAGAAGCTGGTTAACTTGGCCAATGACACTCAACTAGTAAGTAGCTGGGCTGGCTGAACCAAGGTCTCTTTCATTCCAAACTGGGGCCCAGCCATGAAGATCTACTTCCCTCCCTCTGGCCCCACCTACTCCTGTCTCACACATTTGACCATGTAAAGCTCTGGTTCTAGCAAAATGAGAAGGAATTGCTCTTTCCTCCAAGTTCAAAGCCTACTCTGACCCTATGGAAATGCACTTCCATTTACCCAGACAACATTGAAGCATTGCCTCCACCCGTTCTCCCCGGGTTCTAGGAGCTACCAAATCTACCTTTTCCTCCCCTTCTGTGCGTTCACAGCCCTGATTAAGCCCCTCTCCTTTGCACTCTCACTTCCCACACAACTCCCTATTGATCTTCCTGCCTATCCCAATCCATTCCTTTCCCTCCTTCTCTGCGGTCACTCTCAGCCACCAGCCCCTCCCACACGCCCAGGGTTTCTGCTTACACTGCCTCTGCAGACAAGAATCCACAGGACCCTATGCCCCTTCCTTGCCTCCTTGGGAACCAGCTCAAAGCCCACCTTCTCCAGAGTGAAGACATTTATGGGAGAGACATATTGTCTTCTCTTCTGAGTCCCCAACAGTGACTGTCCCCCACGGGCAGATCTCTGCAGGTGTAGAAATGCCACCTTCCATGAACCTGGGCCTCCTTCTGGAGAGGCCAGTGGTTCCCTTTGTAGGAATTCAACTCCCTTCTCTACTTGCTCCGCCCCCCTTATCAACAGACCCAGGGTCTCTGCCTTGGGCTGTGTCCCATTGTCAAGGATGCCTCTAAATAAAAGGAAAAGTCCTCTCCGATGGTGGCTAGGACCATGCAGCTCAACAACTTCAGCACTCTGCCATGACCCCTCCCCCCTTTTGCAATACTGATCTTTTCCTTTCTCCTCTGTGCAGTGTTACCTGACTTCAGGAAGATTTAGGCTTGCTGTACTCCTATCTCACCTCATATAAATAGGTGATCCTAGTGTGGCAGTTATGCTATTGGATAGGGCAGTGATGGCGAACCTATGACACGCTTGTCAGAGGTGACACGCGAACTCACTTTTTTGGTTGATTTTTCTTTGTTAAATGGCATTTAAATATATAAAATAAATATCAAAAATATAAGTCTTTGTTTTACTATGGTTGCAAATATCAAAAAATTTCTATATGTGACACGGCACCAGAGTTAAGTTAGGGTTTTTCAAAATGCTGATACGCCGAGCTCAAAAGGTTCGCCATCACTGGCTTAGGAAGAGCCACACTCAAGGGGCCAAAGAACCGCATGTGGCTCGCGAGCTGCAGTTTGCTGACCACTGCACTAAGGCAACGAGTTGCTTGGGTTTGGGTTCCTGTGACCTTTGGACTGTAGTCAGAATTCTCAGTGTCTTAAATATTCTGATCTTTTGTCTAAACACATTGCATGCGTGGAACCCGATATTCTGGAAATTGGATTTAAGAAGGGATGTTGTGGTAGTCAACCTCTAAGATGGCCCGCAGTCATTCATCTTATGCCTTGTATGGTCTTTTCCACATTGGTAGGACTGGTTTTTGTAACCAGTAGGATACTGTGGAAATGATGATGTGTGACTCCTTAGGTTAGTCATAAAAGACACCTTGTTTTTTGCCTTGCTCTGTCTTGGAAGAAGCCAGCTGCCATGTTGTGAGGACACTCAAGGAGCCTTATGGAGAGACCTGTGTGGTAAGGAACAGGGCTTCATACCAATATCATGTAAGGGGGCTAGCTATTTTGGAGGTGGATCCTTCAGTCCATCAAGACTTTAGATGACCTCCCCAATATCTTGACAATAACCTCATGGATCTCTGAGCCAGAACCACCAGCTAGGCCTCTCCCGAATTTCTTACCCACAGAAACTGAGATAATAAATATTTATAATTTTGAGCCATCAAATTTTGGGGTAATTTTAAATGCAGCCACAAGTAACTAATACAGATGGGAATATAAATGAAAGAAGAGAAATAATTTCTAATAAATTCAAGAAGTAAAAGAAAATGAAGTTTAATTTTGAAAGAAAAAATTATACTATAAGCAATTGTGTTGTAAGTGTGCATGTGTTAGCTGGGGATGGGTCATTGTGAAAGGTCAATGCAAACTGTCCACATTTAGAGAAACTTGCTGGGTAGGAGAACCAAGTAGAATAGTTTGGGTGTGGTTTTGTGTGTGCGTGGTGTTGGAAGCATGGCGGTTTTATGTGCTATTCATATAATTAGGGATGATATATAAATTATTTAATAACTGGCCCTGGCACAGGAAGCAAATAATCAGAATGGACCCTCCTCCAATCAGCACCATTCCCTATAAACAGTTAGTGAAGCTATTCTGCTGTCTACGGGATGCACACCAGTGTGGACTGTGGAAGCTTTGACATGATCTTGGGTGTGGCTAGATTACCTCGGAGATTTTAATTAAAGTCCTTCCACAAGATGGCACTGATAGCTTTTCCTTGTTTATATTTTTCTGTCTTTTTGAAAAAATTTGTAATTTGTGTACTGCTACAGATCATACAGTGACTGAAATCTCATAACTCACTAGTTGATTTCTTGTACTTCTGACAATTCCATTGCCTTCGTGGCACTTAAAATTATGTTTTTCCTTTAGACCATTCAAGGAGCACATTGAGACTTTATGCTGGGATGTTGTGGGGTTGGTGCCTTATATCAGAAGCTATGATTAGGGGATTTGGAGATGGAGCAGGAGCTGGGGGCTAGGCTTTAGTTTTTGCAAAGCTACCCAACAAAGACAGGCGAGAGAAAAGAATCAGAGGAGAGGGAACACTCAGTTAGATAAGAGTCACCATTGTGATGCAAACCATTTGAAGCACTCCCTTACTTGATTGTTCATGATGTTACAAACTTTGATTTGCCTTGGATCTGAAGGAAAGAAATTACTGGAAATCTTTGCATTGCAGTTTTCACAGTATAAATGTCAAAATTGGAAGAAACCTCAAGAGATCTGGTTTTAGTCCTCCATTTCTAGGTGAGGAAACTAATGGTTACTCAGTTGGCCCAGACCAGGACTCAATCCATTCTGTCAAACATCGCTGGGTCACTAAACTGTGTGACCTAGACCAAGTTACTTAAACTTTCTAAGCTTTAGTTTCCTCATCTACAAACTCTAGATGTCTATAATGACATAGATTATTAAGGATTATTGCTAGAGTTAAATAAGCTAGGGATATGTACGGTACCTAGCGAAGTGCTGGCACATAATTGGTGCTCAAAAGATGGGAGCTACTGCTACTACCACCATCCTCACGAGATGGTTTAGAGCTGCTGAGAATAAATGTAGAAATTACACTGATGTGGAAACATCATTAATGCAAAGTGGGCAATCATAGGATGCTGTGCTTGGCAGAATTCTAAAATGGTCCCAAATCCCTTTGAGAAGAAGATATCACTCCATGATTATTATGTTCCAAAAGGGGGCCAGGTAGCAAGATGACCTCTGTGTCCCGAGTGGGTCCCAGCTGACAGCTACTAAGAAAGCAGGGACTTCAGTCCTACAACTGAAGGAAGTGAATTCTGCCAGTCTGAACGAGCTGGTGAGGAAGGATATAAGAAGATAGGGAAATTCCTTGACAAGTGGAATAAGGGAAATTGAGACAAAATGATTAAATGAGGCCAAACCATTTGAGAAATTTACAGTCAGATAATGAGTTACAGGTTCCAGACCATCCTGGGACCGAACAGCCTTGGTCCCAGTCCCTCTTCAGTGACATTTTTAAAAAAATACATATTTTATTGATTTTTCACAGAGAGGAGGGGAGAGGGATAGAGAGCCAGAAACATTGATCAGCTGCCTCCTGCACACTCCCCACTGGGGATGTGCCCGCAACCAAGGCACATGCCCCTAACTGGAATCGAACCTGGGACCCTTGAGTCGGCAGGCCAACGCTCTATCCACTGAGCCAAACCGGTCAGGGCTTCAGTGACATTCTTGATGATGTTCTTTAAAAATGAAACTAACCAGAAAACAAGCCCTGACCTCTCTATCTGCGCATTTTGATAAGTCAACATGTTGAAGGACACACCTGTAAAACGAATGAATATTTTGTTAAGACCCTCTCCTGAGACCTCCCCTAGGATCCCCGCTGGCCAAAGAGAGATAAAAAGCCTCAAGACAAAGGAGCCGCCACCTGCTCTCATGAGAGAAAGCCCACGCCTTGCATTTTTGCTGTTTTTCTTCTAAACTTTAAGGGAGACTTGCAACCGGAGGAGCTGAGGGCAGTGGCAGCTCGACCCAGGGTCACCCCCTGAACCTGTCTCCGAGGCCCCCTTTTCTCTGACTTTCTCTCTCCTGTTGCTTCTTTTACCTCAAGCCCTTCCTTGTTTCACTGTCCCCAGCTTTAGTAAACATACTCTCAAAAACACCTGGGACTCATGTTGTGAAATCTTTCCTACACAAAGTCAAGAACCCGCACACAACGGGTGGGCCCTAGGCAGACCTGCCCTGGGGCCAGACCCCATTTGGTAACACTTGGAAGAGAACCTGAGTCTCAGAGGAGAGTTGAAGCCTGGCCAGTGCCTTAATTTCAGCCTGAGGAGACCCTGGGAAGAGGATCCAGCTAACTAGTAACTAGACTACAGAACTGTGAGATAATAAATGGGTATTTTTTTTTTTTTTTTTTTTAGCCATGGGTAAGTTTTTGGCAATTCATAAGTTATATAAATATCTATTTACTATGCTAGACACTTGAAACTAATATAATATTGAAGATCAACTGTAATTGAAAAAAATAAAGAAAATGGATACAGATGCCCTATTTATTTTCTTATCTTTAATATGCTGGTTTCAATACTAGACCTTTGAGGTTATTAAATTATCTTATTTCTTGTCTCTTTCCCTTTGCTGTAAGCCTTCCAATCTACAAAACTATAGATCACATAGGTCCATCTTCCAGGGCAGATGCAACAAATATAATGAATCGTTGGAGCCCAGGGATTGTCAATATCTGATTCCATCCAGGCACCTTTCCAGCTCCTGGCTGTTCCCCCAGCCGTCTTTAGACCAGTGCTTCTCAGTGTGTGAGCCACAGTTGAGCAGCGTTGGCATCCCCTGGGAGCTTGTGAGAAATGCAGACTCCCAGGCCCTGCCCCCGACCTATGCCTGAGAAGCCCTGTTTTAAAATCAGCTTGCACTGCAGCTCTGTGTTCCTTTCTGCTTGACGAGCATTGGTAGCACCTAACATATGGCCCGGCCACAAGACGCCTGGGACATCTCTGGCATCTCTTCTCTGGCGCTGAGAAACTGGCTGAGCTGGCCATGGGCAGAGCACCCAGTCAGCACAGAGGGAGGTCTACAGAGGCCTAATGGGCATGGGAGAAGGCCGAGGTCAGTTAGAAACAGCCAACAGTCCCTGACTGGAACCATCTATTGTTTTATCTACAGGTTAGGAACATGGCCAAGAAAAATACACTTAGATGTATGTTGCGATTTTCCTGTTTTGTTCAAAGGAAGGGCCTGGTTCCCAGATTTCCTTTCTGGAGGAAACCTTGAGACATCACTTTTCACTCTCTCCACCTTTAACGTACATTCCAGGCATCGCAGAGATTGTCCGGCTTCTCATCCTTCCATTTATGTGACCCCGGCCTCCTTCCCTGCAATTTTGAGGGAAGGGGGTAAAGGAGCCATGGACCACTTCCTATCACATCACTCCAACCTCCCAGCAGACTTTCTTTCTTTTTGTTTTTATTAACTTGAGGAGAGAGAGAGAGAGAGAGAGAGAAGCACCAATTTGTTGTTCCACTCATTTATGCATTCATTGGTGGATGGTTGTATGTGCCCTGACCGGAGATTGAACCCCAACTTTGATGTATTGGGAAGATGCTCTAACCAACTGAGCCACCTGGCCAGAGCCCCAGCAGACTTTCTTACTTTTTAAAAAAATAATTCTTTATTGTTGAAAGTATTACATATGTCCTCCTTTTTACCCATTGACCCCCCCTTCAGCCCCCCCTCCCGCCGCCCTATTGTTTGTGTCCATGGGTATGCATATATGCATACAAGGTCTTTGGTTGATTACCTCCATTATTAAGAGAGATTGAAAAAGAGACAATGAAATGGAAAGATATTCCATGTTCATGGATTGGAAGAATTAACATAATTAAAATGTCCACATTACCCAAAGCAATATACAGATTTAATAAAATCCCCATCAAAATCCGTTGTCATTTATTATTTATTTTTTAAAATAATTCTTTATTGTTGAAATTATTACATATGTCCCCTTTTCCCTTTTTTCCTCCCACAGACCACCTCCAGCCCACCCTTGCCCCTTGCCTTCACCACCATATTGTCTCTGTCCATGGGTTATGCATATATGCATAAAGGTCTTTGGTTGATTACCTCCCACCCACATGCCCTCCCCAGCCTCCCCTCCAAGATTCCACACTCTGTTCCATGTCTCTGGATCCACTTTGTTCATCAGTTTATTTTGTTCATTAGATTCCACATAGGAGTGAGATCGTGTGATACTTGTCTTTCTCTGACTGACTTATTTCACTTAGCATGATACTCTCCAGGTCCCTCCATGCTGTCTCCAAGGGTAAGAGATTCTTCTTTTTTACTGCTGCATAGTATTCCATGGTATACATGTACCATAGCTTTTTATCCACTCATCTACTGGTGGGCACTTGGGCTGTTTCCAGACCTTACCTATTATAAATTGTGCTGCCTAGCAGACTTTCTTTACACCCACATCCCATCTTTCTGGAATCTCCTTGGAGCCCCTCACCTCCATGGTTCTCTGGACTGGCCTCTACTCTTCCAGCCTCTACACATTCCCCTCTGTGTGGCTACAGTGACTTTCATAGAACATGAATCTTACTTTTCCAGTTTTTTAGTAGCTCCTTATTGCCTTCAAGAAAAAAAGACCCGCCCGACCATCGTGGGTCAATGGTGGAGTGTCGACCTACGAACCAGATCACTGTTCGACTCCTGGTCAGGGCACAGGCCCGGGTTGCGGGCTTGATCCCCAGTGGGGGGCATGCAGGAGGCAGCCAATCAATGATTCTCTCTCATCATTTATGTTTCTAACTCTCTCCCCCTCTCCCTTCCTCTCTGAAATCAATAAAAATATATTTTTTTAAAAAAGAAAGATAAAAGTCCCGACATTTATAGACTGGCAGAGAAAGCCCTCTAGGAGGAAGCCTCTTGCTTCTCTCTGCAGCCTCATCTTATTGGCTGCAAATGGAGCTCATGATCTGTCAATATCTGATTCCCTCTAGGCACCTCCCCAGCTCCTGGCTGTCACTCTGACCTTTAGACCAGCGCTTCTCAAAGTCCCTGGCACATCAGACAACGTATGTGTCCTCAGCAGAGCAGAGCTCTTTCATGTGCCTTTGCATATGCTGCTCTCTTTACAGTCCTGCTTCTACCTGTGGCCGGCAGCAACTCCTCACCTCCCTCAAGATTCAGTTTGGAACACTCCACTCTATATAGGAAGCCTTCCCTGCAACCTTATAATTCATGTATTGTATCTCCCTTCTCAGCTTTTTTAGTATCTCCAGCAAAATATTTATCATATTATATATTTACAACATTTAAAAATATTTATTGCTTTTTATGCAAATAAATTTTTATTGTTAAAGCATTAGGATATATAAAGCAATATATATCCCTCAGCAATATGATTACTTATTGCCTATTTATATTAATTGGTATTTAAAGAGACACCACTCTGTCTTCCAGGAATGAAGGAAAACAGTATGAGGAGCTAGAGGTTTACATACCTGCTGGATGAGCTGTGGTAGCCACAGTCCCAGATGATCTTAGCCTGTGACATCTAAGAGAGAGGCTCTCGGAGACCTTGCCCGGACGGAAGCCACTCCAAGATAAAGCTCAAGAACTTCTGGGAGTCTGGCTGGTGTGGCTCAGTGGTTGAGCATCAACCTATAAACCAGGAGGTCATGGTTCGATTCCTGGTTAGAGCACACGCCCAGGTTGCGGGCTCGATTCCCGGTGTCGGGCGTGCAGGGGGAAGCTGATGAGTGATTATCTCTCATCATTGATATTTCTATCTCTCTCTTCCTCTGTGAAATCAAGAAAAGAAAAGAAAAAAAAAGAACACCTGGGAAATTCCCACCAATTATCTCAGTCCTTAGCACTAATGTGGAGAGTCTCAAGAGACTCATCTGACTCGGTTTGGAACGTCTCCTCTGACTGTGCATTTGCCCACCTCTGCAGAGTAATGGCCTTTTCTCTCTTTTGGAAATGTTGCTCTCAGCATCTTTTTTGTGGCTCAGTGGCCTTAATAATGAGGGACATTGATGCTAAGTTTACAAGAGACGATTCACTTAAAGATAACCGCATTTTGGTGCACCACCTTTTATGTGTATTTGTGTATGTGTATATAAACGAATAATATACATATAAAATTTCTCTTTACTGTGATCTCTCTATCTGTATGTCTAGATACATTTCTCCCCTCTGGCTCCTTGAAGGTTTGCTTCTCTACTTCTCAGAATAAGGATTCCCAGCACTGGTTTGACGACACCCTGGAGTATCTTCATGTATCTCAGGGAATGCCTTGAAATTTACAAAACAAGATTAATTTAAATTCATTTTTTATTTTAAAAAGTAAACAGATATTATATAGTAACTAGAGGCCCAGTGCATGAAATTCATGCACGGGGTGGGGGAGTCCCTCAGCCCGGCCTGCACCCTCTCTCAATCCAGGACCTTTGGGACATCCCTCTCACAATCCTGGACTGCTGGCTCCTAACTGCTCGCCTGCCTGCCTGATTGCTCCTAAAACTCAAGCTTCTTCCTTTTTTAATTTTTAATATTTATATTTCCTCTTTATTTTCCATTTTAAAATTCAAGCTTCTTGAGAACATGAGGCGTTAACATTATTCCATATTCCTTACAGAGAGCTAAGCATGGCAAACACAGAAAATACTTAATACTTATGGGCTTCTATACAAACACTTTCCAACCAGGGATGTTTTAATAGGCCGTCTCCAAAAACGTGCACTGGAAAACCTAAAAGTAGAGCGCTCAGATTTCAGGCATCAGGTGCTATTAGCAGGATTTCTATCCCAATTAAACTCTAATTCTGAGCTCTCAACAGTCTGGACAAACTGCCCTTCATGATCTCCAAAGTTTCTTCTTCGTCACTATCCCATTTTCCTCCGCTTCAAACCAAGGTAACAAACGAAACCTTGAATTCTGATCTTCCTCGCGCAAGGGAACAGCAAACCTCAATAGAAATAATTTCCCACCAGAAGTCAGGTCCAAATACAGTGGGGCCTTGACTTACGAGTGTCCCGACTAACGAGTTTTTTGAGATACCAGCTGTCTCTCGGCCGATTTTTTGTATTGAGTTGACAGAGTAATTTGAGTTAACGAGCTCCTTAACAAGTTCGGTCTCCGAACGAATTAAACTCGTAAGTCAAGGCCCCACTGTACAGCAAGACTGAGGGCTATAGGGCTGGCCATGCACATGCGCAATAACAGGCTCACGTTCTAGCGGTGGGCACCCAGGCTCCTCCACAATCCCACAATCCTCTAGGCGCCCAGGGGTCCTCCACCATCCCACAGTCCTCTGGGCACACTTCCGGTTTTTCTAGCTCCTCCTGAAGTGGCGTGTCCTTCAGTGGCCTTGCAACGTCCTGGGCCTCTAGTTGGAGAGGATTTTCTGTTCTTTGACGTTGATAGCTGTTTACTATTTGGAATCAGTGAAGTTTCGGGAGCACAGCCGCTGCCATGGACATGGGGTCCCAAGCGCACTCGTGAAACAGCCGCCCATTGAGTCCCCGGCTGGCGCCCTCCTGGTTCGCAGTGAGAAAGGTACCGTGCTGGGCCGTTTCCCATCGGATCTTCCTCTTCCTTCCCCAGCACACTCCACACCTACTCTTGCCGACCACCCCCACCCCGCACACCCTTAATTTCTGCGCGCCCCTATTTCTTCGACTTTCCCCCATCAAACTCGCACCCTATCGTGTTGCCTAGGAGCGCCCCTAACCGCCCCCTGCGGGGTGGGGTCAGCCTGGGCGAGGGGCCATGGTGTTCTGGTCTCTGGTGTTCCACTGTTTCGGTCGCTGGGCTTTTATTATATAGGATTACAGTATGTATACAGGATTTCAGCGTGTGCTGAAATCAGACTAATAAATGCTCGCCTTAGAGAAAAATCAAGAGGATGTTGGTGAGGTTGGAAGGGACCACAAAGGTGGATTAGTTTGAGTCTTTCTGAAACGTCCCTTCTAATTACTTCCAGGTTGGTGTTTCCCCAAATTAATCATGTTCTCAAATTGGGAGTCAGGATTATGGGGGCTGAAAGCTCTCGATACTCAGGTCTGTCTTCTGTGTCTACCACAGGGCCTGGCACAAAGAAGGTATACAGGAAACACGTTTTGATTGACTCTGTGTTAGGGCGGGGCATAGTGGTGGTGGCTGAGTCCAGGAGATATCTGCGGAGATGGTGGCAATGCCATTCAAGTTCCAGGAGAATGTAGATGTCCAGAATGGCAAAGAGAAAGAACCATTCATTGACCTTATGCGACTGTCCTAAGGTCTCTGCAATTGTCTTTTTGTTAACAATTTGTGCAAATCATCAGAAAAAGTTAGATGGGTCAATTAACATTGTCAGTGTGTAAATGTTAGTGACTTACTGCTGAGGGCACAGTCCCAAGGTCATAGATGCAGGAAAGGAAATTTGAATTTTGCATGAGACCCATATATTTGAAGCAGTAGAGCTGGTGTTGGGTTCAAATCCTGCTTCTGCCATTTAAAGTGATATAACCCTAATCAATTGCTTTATGTCTCTTCTATAAAGTGGAGAAAAGCATGGGGTTGTCAGATTAAATGATTTAATCCATGTAAAGTGCTTTGAGTAACACTTGGCACGATGAGAGATCATTAAATGCTAGTTCGCGTCATCATCAACATCACAACAGAATCTGCACACTTATTAGGCATCCCATTTAGAGAATAACGATTATTCATTCTCCTTGGCCCTCATCTTGGAGTACTTTAGTGGCCTGTCTGGTCTCAAAGAATAGGTTCAGAAACTCCTCCTGTTGCCCCCTAGAGTGGAGTAGGAACATCATTTTCAGTGCTGGACTGGAAACTCAGGCAGAGAGCTAATCATATAACAAAGCAAGCAAACAGACAAAGCAGAAAACCACCACATGCAAATTGAGTTTTCAGTGAATCCCTTAGCACACTTTGGTGGGCTATTCTGTTTTGTGGAGAAAGATAGTGCAAACATACCTGGATTCATAGAATCACAACTGGTAGCGAGGGAAAAACGCGTCCTTTAGCAGTTTTATGGTCTATCGGTCCTTGAAGGCAAGACATTACATTAGCCAAGAGACAGTTTCAAAATGTGTTCATTATTTCCCACTCCTGTTGATAAAAATCAAACCTCTTCCAGAGAAAATGGTTGATGGGAAGAGAACCTTTGAGGCCATTAAAAGACATTCTTGATTCTCTTTATTTCAGTGAAAAATGAAATGTGCCTCTGTCCTCAGATGAGAAAGACAAATCAGTCTCACATCTAATATTAGCAAACTTCAAATACAGGGTCTGAATGCCAGTAATTCTGTTCAATTCCTTTTTTTTCTTGTGCAAATACGGAGGAATATACATTATATGATTATTCAGATGTTCAAACAGTTTTGTAGGATCTGAAAAATTTCAAATTCATACAGAATTTATTTCTAGGAAACAAAGTTAATGAGTTAGAGTAAATTATTTGTAATTCATGATACCCTAAAGACCACTTTTGGCCAGAAAAGATATTTGATTTATAAGAGGATGGTGGGAGAAAAGTTTTTTAATGGTTAGTTTTGTTTTATAGTATTTTGGATCTCTAAGGCTATAGTAGTCTAAGCCTTTCTGACTCCTGCATTTTCAAAATTCTTCAATTAACCAAATATATACCAAATATACCTCAGTGAACAAGATATCAGGTTATATGCTTGGATGGGGGTACGGAGAAAAGTACATTTGCATTTTACTTCTGTAGTAAATTGCTATAGTCACAACCCCAGTGAATCACACCTACCAAGATCCATACCCTGATATATTCCTCTGCCACATTGACACTGGGCTCAGCTGTGCAACTTGCTTTGGCAATGGTGCCGGGGTTCTTGTCCCAGCATCAAGAAGGGTTCAGGAATCTGGAGAAGGGGCTGTGCATAGATGACATAGGAATCCAGGGACTAATAAAGAGTTCGGAAACGAAAGATAATTTTGAAAGGCATTGGGGATCAGAGGAGCTCAGCTAAAGGAGCTAAGATCCAAGATCTTAAGTCTAAGGTCTTAGGTTCTCTTTGTCCCCAGGACCCCATGATTTTTATTAGCACAACTTGCCCTGAGGCGAGGCAGAGATATACACTTCAAAAGGTCAGGATTTGGTACAGAGTCCATTGTTAGAATGGGGGAATTAGCCTATGGCTGTTCAGGTGTTTGGCCAGTAGGAGGCAATAACATGTAGATTAAGATGCCTTTTAGCTGTCTGGCAGCCACAATCAGTTTCCTATTCAGGTTTGGGGAAATGCCTTTAGCCATTCCCAACAGATGACTACATGTGTGACTCAACCCTGTTGAGTCCCAAGTCTCATCAACCTTTTGATGAAACTCTTGAAATTATGACATGCTGGAATTGGTCGCTGGCAAATGGGACATAAACAAATGTAATGGAAGTAAAGGTTTGATAAGCACTTGCACACTGAGGCTTATCCTTCTGGAACCCTGAGACCACAATCCTATGGAGAAGTCCAGAATGAATTACCATGTAGCTGGAGAGGCCAGTTTAGTCCAGTCCCCTAGGGTGCCCTG